TGGAGTGTAATTCCCAGCTCAGTGCCAAGGAAGACACGACGGAGGAGACAGCCTGCTCAAGGCACGAGCACAAACCAGCCCCTCTGCTCTGGGTCAGCTTTTAGGTACAGCTGCCACACGTTGAGTCAACAAGAGTCAAAAGCACACAGTGAAGTTTCAGCCCCAAGGGGCAGAACACCAAGCTGAGAGCATGGAGCTGGCCGGGAGGTGCGGCCACCAGCGTGACCGGTACGTCCCGTCCTGCGGCAGCGTGCCCAGGGCCCTGTTCAGCCCCATACCTCTCTTTGCAGGGCTACAACTGCTCTGCTTTACCCCGTGGCACATGAGGAGCAGTGGCAGGAATCCCAGTCCCGCCATGGCCTTGCTTCCTCCTCTCTTTTTAAGCACAACCCCCCAGTGCCACTGCATCCACCAGCCCTCACCTGGAAGATGGCATGCGAGCGGGAGGAGACAGCGTTGGCGTCAGTGGGATGCTGCGTGCGATTCCTGTTTGCCGTTGGCCAACATCTCCAGGAGCTGCTCTGCTGACGCAGGCTGGGAGAGAACAGGGAGAGGGATGCTACCAGTGTGCCCCATCTGCAGGCACAGACACAACCCAACACAGAGCACCCACTTGCAGCACCGTGGGCCTCATCTCAGCTCAGGCTCATGTTTGCTGCCAGCCAGGAGCTGTGCAGGTCGCACCCCCCTATCTTCAGAGACCCCCTATCTCCAGGACACATCTGCTTTCAGAACTGGTGGAGGTGCAGCACTGCCCATTCTTATACCTGGTGTGCCCATTTTAATGCCTACCTGGTGGAATGAGAGGCCCTGGACCACAGCTCCTCGCTCAGGATCCTCCCGAATAGCTAGAGGTCCCTTGGGCTCCAGCAGGTCATAGATCTGCTCGTTGTACACCTGAAGCAGGGAACTCAATGTAAGGCTGAGGTTTGGCTCCCCAGTGGTGAGCAGGGAGAGGAGCTTTGTACCCTAGGGTCACACATGACCTTGTGTCCCTCTCCCAACACCACCTGCAGGACATCACTACACCCAGGGCAGCTGATGGTGCTCTAGCTGACAGCTCAGGAGGGCTTTCAAAGCAACTCACTTTGCCACAGCTCCTCTAAAGCCTTTCCAGCCAGGAACCCCTCATTGCTACGTGCATCATGGCAAGGAAGAGAAAATGCCACGACTCCAGACAGGAGAAACCAGGAACACCAGGTCATTGACCCGGCAGGGTGAGCTCCCTTCCAGTTGGGCTCTAGGGCTGCCCTGGGGGCACTGGGTACCCTGAACGGGGCACTACAGGGTCTGCATCAACCCCAAATCTTAGTGACGGGGACCCAGTTGCGGCAGCCCCAATGCACCTCCTGGTAGGAGACTAGGACCTCACAGCTCTTCTCCTGCCTTCTGGCCTCCATCCTCTGGTACAGCTCCACCATAGTCAAGTACATGATGCCAGGGCTGTGCTCCGAGCCCAGCATGGTGTAGGTTTTCCCTGCTCCGGTCGCGCCATAGGCAAACACTGAGAGGAGAAAGGGTGGATGGGTGAAGGAGTGAATGGGAGCAGCAGAACATCCGCTCCTTGCTGCAGAGGAGATGTGGAGATCTTCCCGCAGCAGCCCCTGCAGCAGGGCACGCTCACAGGCTCCCGGAGACGAGGCAAAGCTCATTACCCTCTGCACTACCTGCAGCAGCCTTCAGTGCAGGTTATTTCCTCATTGCAGCCTCTCCAATTTAGCAGAGGCAGAATGAGTCCCCAAACCATCACCGCTTGGATGCTCCAGTCACCTCCAAACACTTCCTTTCATAAACCAAGCAGCCCCATTCCCCCATCTCTCACCAGAATGGCTTTCTTCATCCAGCCCTCGTTATTCATCTCCATTTTCAGCCCCAGTCTTTCAACACCCTCTTTAAAACATCACCATCAGACCAGGACACACTGATCTAGCGAGCCTCAGCCCTTCTCCCTGTTAGCAGCACTCGGGGCCCCACCACTCTCTCCTGAGAGGATCCTGGAGCTCTTTTATGCAGACAGAGACACGAGCCGTGCCTGCCAGGTGGGCACGGTGACAGAGGCAGCCTTCAGCGCCTCGCAGAGCACACGGGGAGCCAGGAATAGCATCCTGCAGCGCCAGTGCCCGGCCCGGCACGCGATGAGACAGGAGCGCGGTGTCTCCCGCTCAGTGCCTGCCTCGCACAAGGGATGGGCTCATTAAGGCACCGTCTGCTGACAGCCTGCAAACGGCACAGGGGCTGCAGCACCACGAGAGGAGCTTCCAGGCCCAGCTTCATGGAGCTGCCAGCCTGGGAGATGCTCAGGAGGGGCACAGCAACCCTCAAAGCACCCCAAGGTGTGGCTGCTGCACCCCAGATCCCTCCCCGAAACTCAGCATCCCTGTGGCCGCAGCCCCACATCCAACCTACCTTCACTTCTGCCACAGGGCTCTGCTGACTCCCGCTCAGGTCAGTGCCCACCAGAACCCACAGGTCCCTCCCAGCCACACAGTCCCCAGCCTGTACCCAGCTCCTGGGTTACCCCATCACATCCGTGTTAAACTACACATCCTCGTGGTTGCCTTTCCCAGCCCAGACAGGTCTCTCCCACAGACCACATCACATCCTCAGCACACTTGTCATCGCTAAGGGATGCCACCACCAAGTTGAAGGCTGCAGGTTTAGCACTGCTCTTGTGCCTCCCGTCCTCCCCACTCCCAACCGCCTGGGGGCTTCCAAACTAACCCCCCAGCTCTCCCAAGCAGATGGGGCAGGAGCTCCCCCAGCACCCAAGCCAGCGGCCAGCTCTTACCGGAGCAGTTGTAGCCCTCGAGGACGCTGTCGAGCAGCTCGGAGGTGCTGTGCTGGAACACCTCCTCCTGCGTGGCCTCTTCCCCAAAGACCCGGTCAAAGACAAACTCCAGGTCCTTGCCCTTGGGCCCCCGCGCGGGCAGCGCGCTGCCGGGGGCAGCCCCGGGCTCCGCGGGGCTGAGGACGATGCCGTGCTCGTTAACGACGTGCACGACCGGGGGCAGGACCCGCTCGCTGCGGGCCAGGGGCCGCACACGCACCACGACAGTCACGGGGCCCTCCTCGGGCGGGGGCACGGCCCCATGGTGGCAGCAGGGACAGGCACCGGGCTGCTGGGACGGCTCCGCTCCGAGCTCCAACGTCTCACAACGGAGCTCGCACACTGGGGGAGGGCAACGGCTCAGCGCGGGGGCAGCGGCTGAAGGGGGGGGGGGGGTCTGGGAGCTGGGCAGGGTCTTGCGCACCCACCCCTGCCCTAACCCCGGAGCCACCGGGACAACACCAGAGCCACCGTTATAACCCCGGAGCCATCCCTATAACCCCAGAGCCACCCCTATAACCCCAAAACCACCCCTAAAACCCCAAAGCCACCGCTGTAACCCCAAAGCCACCCCTATAACCCTCGAGCCACCGATATAACTCCAGAGACACCCCTATAACCCCAGAGCCACCGCTATAATCCCAGAGACACCGCTATAACCCCAGAAACACCCCTATAACCCCCGAGCCACCCCTATAACCCCCAACTGCTCCCCAACAGCCCCACATCCCCTCCACCCCAGCACCGACCCCCCCACCTCCGGGCCCCCACAACCACTCCCCCCCCCTCCAGGCCCCTGTCCCACAGCCCTTCCGGACTCCTCGGACCCCGCACAGCGCCTCCCCTCCAGACCCACATCACCCCACAACCCCTACACACACCCGCCCCACAACCCCTACACCAGCTCCACATCACCCCACAACCCCTACACACACCCGCCCCACAACCCCCACACCCGCCCCACATCGCCCCCTGAGCCCCACTCGCTCCCCTCAGACCCCTTTGCCCGCCCTCCCCGCCGCCCACCTCCGCTCTCCACACCGGCCGCCGCTCCGTATTCAAACGGAAGCTCAACAACCGCCCTCTCCCTGATTGGTCGCCTTGCCACGCCTCCCCTCCCCATTGGCTCCGGGGGGTCACGCGCCGCGCGAGGTGCCCCATGGGAGTTGTAGTCCCGCCGTGCCCTGGCCGGCCGCCATCTTTCCCCCCCCGTTTTGCTCCGTGCCGGAGGCGGCAGAGCCGGCGGTGCCAGCGGGCAGAGAGCAGAGGGGGACCCGCGGGGAGCTGAGGGGCCTGGGCTCTGCCCCCGGTGCCAGCTGGGGCGGTGGCTGCAGCCACCCCAGGCCTCAATGGTGCCCTCCACAGCACGAGCAGCTCGGCTCCGGCCACCACAGCCCTGGGGTGCTCCTGACGTGGCTGGAGCCTCCCCAGGCCCTTCCATCCCAGGGGCTCAGTAAAGGAGCCCAGCCAGGGCTCAGGACCCTGGGTCCCTTCCCAGCTCCCAGGGAGCCCAATCCTGCCCCAGCTCCGTGTGCGTGGCCATACCCCGCTCACCCAAGCACTGAGGTTGGGGGTCTTTTGTCCCCCCAGTGACCCACGGGGATGGAGCGAGGGCCAGAGCCCACCCCGGGCAGGGGCTCCGTGCCAGGGGCTTTCCCTGGGTGGTTGAAAGGGGCTTTGTGTGCAGGGCTGGAGCCTGGGCACGGGCAATGGGAGCCTTTGTGCCGGGCACCGCTGCCGGGAAACACAGGAACGGAGCCAGGGGCAGTGGCGGGGATGGGGACACGGCCACCCTGTGCCCTGCAGCACTGGGGCATGGCCAGGCCTTGGGGACAGACCGGGCACGGATAAAGTGGGGTTTGGAGGCACAGGGCTGTAAGGGACATGGGGTCCACACGGATGCTACCACAGGAGGCAGCCAGGATGAAGCTGGGTGGCAGGGGGTCACTGTAGGGATGCTGCGGACAGGATGGGGACAGGTCGCACAGGCTGGCAGCAAGGTGGCATCTGATGGCTGGGAAAGGCTCCCTGAGAGCTGCAGCACAGGGACAGCAGCCAGGCCCTGCTGGACCACAGCCACCAGCACTGGGGCACCGACAGCATCCAGACTGGGGAGGTTATAGCAACAGCCAGGGGTGCAAGCTGTGGGCACCCAGAGCCACGGGTTGGGGTGGGGCCCAGTGGTGGCACTGGGGCAGCGCTGAGGCCCAACCTCTTGCTGCCCCATCCCCATTTAACCCAAGAAGTTCTCTGTCCCCATCCAGCCCTGTGTGCCCACAACCTGTCCTGCACCAGTGTCACCGGCAAAAGGCAGCAGTTTCACCCCCAGAACCACCTCAGCCTGGACACTTCCCTGCACCATAGGTGATGCTTGGCATCCCCAGGCTGCTGGAGCAGTGACCGCCCTGTGGCCCCACGCTGTGGGACAGCCCATGGGGCCAGCAGGCCCCTGTCCCTATCAACTGTCAGCAGTGCCTGGGGTGCAGAGCCCACACGGGGCAGGGGCTCCAGGGCCCTGCACGAGCCCCCACGCTGCTCCCTGCAGATGGATTTTCTCCCAGCTCCTCCGCAGCCGGGATCCAAGCATGGAAAACCGTCACTGCGGAGGCAGCGCTGGGCTCCCTCCTCCTCCTCCTCCTCAGCCCCCTCTTAATGAGGCAGAGGAACCAGGAGCAGCCTGGAAGGTTGAATTGGAAGCTTCCAGGCTGGGAGCAGGCAAAGGGGAATGCGGCGCTGCCAGGCAGGAAAGGAGGGCAGGAGGAGCGGGTGACCCCGGTCCCCACGGGACTGCAGCACACCCAGAGCCACGGCCCCATCCATCCTGCTCCCACCGCACTTGGCCATCCTGGAGGGCGCCTACGAGGAGCTGGTGCAGGCAGCCAGATGTGCCCTGCCAAGGCAGCCAAGGGGGTCAGGGGGTGCAAGGGACAAGTGCGGGCCCAGGGTAGGGATGCTCAGAGCTCTCTGCCCCAGCCCTGGGGGTTTGCAAGCAGCTGGAGCAAGGGGGACACAGAGAGGGGGGCAGCAGCAGGGTTTTAGCAAGGGGGAACAGCACAGAAGCACACAAAGCAGCAGGAGCTGGGTCTGCGCTCCAGGCCACGGCACCAGCTGGACCCCCACAGCACAGCCAAGGGGGCAGAAGGCACCCGCAGGAGCCCCGGATGAGGGGGGAAGCCACAAAGGAGCTCAGCCCCAGGAGCAAGGGCCTTTGCCAGGCCCAAACCCAGCTCCCCCCAGGCGGGGGGACAAGAAGCTCAGCCCTCTGCTTTGAACCAAACCATGTATTAAGAACACAACTTAATTCTTCACATGCATCATGTGTGGGGAATGGGGGGACGGGGAATGGGGGGACGGGGAATGGGGGACCGGGGAATGGGGGGACGGGGAATGGGGGGACGGGGAATGGGGGGACGGGGAATGGGGGGACGGGGAATGGGGGGACGGGGAATGGGGGGACGGGGAATGGGGGGACGGGGAATGGGGGGACGGGGAATGGGGGGACGGGGAATGGGGAGACGGGGAATGGGGAGACGGGGAATGGGGGGACGGGGAATGGGGGGACGGGGAATGGGGGGACGGGGAATGGGGGGAGAGTGTGAGAACAAGGAAGACTTAAGGGGATCGTGGTGGGGCTGCAAGGAGGACGTAGAGGAAGGAAGAAATCTGGGAACCGCGTTAGGGACATGGGGAGGGATCCAGGAGCCATCAGCATAAGAGCTGCGTTGGCTGTGGGGTGTGGGCAGGGGGAGACAGGGGTGAGTTCTTTGGCTCTCCTCTTGCTCCCCTTCCAGGAGCTGTTCCTCCAGCCAGGCTCTGAGGAAGACAAGAGCAGAGAAGCAGATGAGGCAGCCCCTGGGCAACAGCAGCAAACCCAGAGCCCCTTCCCGAGGAGGATCCAAGCCTCCTCCTTCCCACCCCTCTCCAAGGGCCCAGCGCCCTTCCCAAGGCTGTGGCTGCAGCCAGGAACAGCAAACCCCAAAGGGCATCTTCCAGCAGCACCAAACATCCCATTCCCAGGTGTTTGCCCCCCCAGGCTAGAATGGGGCTGGCACAGCAGCAGCTTGCTGAGGCAGGGAGCACTCCCACAGCCCATCTCGCTGCAGGGAAAGGGCTTCCTTGGGTGCCTGCCTGGGTGTGGAGGAGCACAGGACTCACCTGGGATGCGGGAGGGCTGCACACAGCTCTTGCTGCTGCGCTGCAGGTGGGCAGTGCAGCTCTGGAGCCCAACCGGGCAGGGGAAGGTGACGCTGTGAAAGAGAAAGGGACCATTTCTAACCCCAGAGCTCAGGGCAGAGGCCCCCATCATCCCCAGCTGGCACAGGGGAGGTGGCACAGACACAGGCAAGGATGGGGGCTCGAGCCCCAGCGGGGAGCAGAGGCAGGAGCTGCCTGCACAGAGCACTGAGGGGCACAGGGTGCTGGTGCCTGTCTCACCTCTCCACTCGCCTCCGCTTCAGCGCAGGGGCTTTGGGGATGCAGGAGCTCTGCATGGCCAGCGCTGGGATGGGGGGCTCTGCAGCCAAGGAAAAGAGGGTTAGTGCCAGGGCATGGATCCTGACCGCCCGCTCTCAGAAGGCTGAGAGGCAACACCAGTGTCCCCTCTGAGCAGAGCTGCAGCGATCCACAAAGGGTTCCCCCAGACAGCAGGGCCGCAGAGGGGAGACCCCCAAGCACACACTCAGCCCAGCCAGGGCAGCACTTACTCAGGCAGGAAGGGGCTCTCCTGCTTTGGTTGCTGGCACTGCCTCTTCTCCCTGTGCCAGCATTGCGAGAGGCGGATGGGAACGGGCAGGATGGCGCTGGGGGATCTGCTGTGCGGGCAGAGCTCAAAGGTCACATTGAGCTCGCGGGCAGGCGGGGAGCACCGGATCTGGGCAGCTGACACTGCCAGGGGCGCAGGGCTTTGGGGGCCTGGTGCTGAGCTGGATCTGGGGCTGTAACCCAGGGGCACCGGGGAGCCAGGGGATGCTGGAGCTGCGGACTCGAGCCGGGGGGTGCCTGGGCTCTGTGGCCCGGGAATCTCCGCTGCCTTCCCACGTCTCTGCTGGCCTTGCATCTGCCTCCTGATGCTGCGGCGAGGGGCTGAGGGGGAGGCACTGCCCAGCCCAGGCTTCCTCCTCCCAATAGGGCTCAAAGCCGTGGGCACACGGCCCGAGAACGGAGCAGGCTGCTGCAAGCACTGCGGGCTGGTCTCATCACAGGGGCACCGCACACGGTGACAGATGCCGCATCTGAAGGAGCAGGAAAGGAGCAGTCACCTCTCTGCCTGCAGCTCCCAGGAATGCCCAGACCTCAGGGCAGCCCCCTCTCCTCCATCACTGCTCAGGGGACATCTGCCCAACAAGCCCCACTGCAGTCATTTCCCGGCGGGGGTTTCCATCAAACCGCATTAAACCCAGAGGAAAAGAGCCAGCACAAGGAATCCTGCCCCTGGCAGCCTCGGTGATGGCACCAGCCTGCTCCCAGAGCAACTGCCTGGGGCAATGCCTGAGCTCTCCCAGGAAAATGGGGTCTGCAGAGCCCACAGCCTGGCTACTGGGTTCATGGTTAACAATGAGGACGAGGAGGAAGAGCTCAGCCCTGGTCACACGTAGGCCGAGGACACAGCCAGGGTGACTTGGGCAAACCAACCAGGGAGACAAAGGAGAGGGGCCAGCACCAACTGTCCCAGCTCCAAATCCTCACCATCCCAGCTCCACTTCATCCTCTTGCCTGGGGTGGCCTCGCTGAGCTCTGCAGGCCTGCTCAGAGGTAGAGCTTGCTCAGGGCTCCCACCAGTGTCCTGAGGGACCAGCAGGGCCAGTTCCTCCAGCACAGACACCAAGTCCGGAGTGAGGAGGTTGGCAGCCTTCAGGACAGAATAAAGCTTCCGGATGCCGCTCAGGCCAGAAGCCACAGGCCTGGGGACAGAGACAGGAACCAGTTAGCAGGTGAGCTTGAGCCAGTGTCACCAGGAACAGAGGCTCAGCACCACCAGCATCACCTCTGAGACACCACCTCAGCTGAGGCAGAGCCCATCAGCAGAGGTCTGGGGCAAGAGAAGCAAATGTGAAGCTGTGAGGTGCCCAAAGGTGAATCTCTTGCTGGAGAACACCGAGCTGTGTGTTCACCTGCTGGTTACAAGGGACCAACCAGCACCTACAGGCTTTTTGCTGCCCTTCAGACACTCCTTAGCTTGGCTAGAGACAGATCCAGGCCCACGTCTCCCCCCAGGAGACCTTTCTAAAGAGCCAAGATGCTCGGGGCAGACTCATGAGCAGATGGTGCTGTGGGAGCCCTGCCAGGGTGGAGCCAAGGCAGGAGCAAAGACCTCAGAGGTAGTTTCACAACTAACAACACACACTTCAGGCTCCAACAGTTGCTGTGCCTGGAAACCTTCAGAGCTGGCATCGCCAGGACAGATTATTCCATGGCATTAGATCCCAGGAGCCAAAGCCCTTCCTGTACAGGGCAGGCAGTCATCTGAAAGCGAAGATGTGGGCCCGTCTTCATCTAGACCATCCCCAGGATGGCCACATGCAACAGCAGGGGGGACCCCCCACCTTCCACAGGCAACCAAGAAGACACAGGGGGGGCAGGAGGACACTCACTGCTCTGTGCGGTGGCCGGACAGAGGGCTGTTTCCTCCAAGCTTTGGCTCCTTCAGTCCCAGCCGCAGATCCACCCCATGGGATGCTCCAGGGCTGCTGGTTGGCATTTCCTCTGGAGCCTGGAGCAATCACCCAAAATTCCTTACCCATTAGCCCAGGGTTAGCCCACAGGTGAGCTGAGTTTGGTCCCCAAAATGCTTGAACCTGGGAAGTTAAGGGCCTTCGCTAGCAAACCACAGCCCAGCACGTGCTGAGCCAGGACACACGGACCCCTGAGCTCCTGCCACCTCCCAGCAGGCCCCAGCTCAGCTGAGAGCCCCAGCTTCCTCTGGGCTCTGCTCATCACCCCAGGCCCTCCTGTGCTGCCCATCCCTCCTCTCACCTCGCCCTCCAATTGCAGCTGCATCTGAAGAGGAAAACGAGCCTGCAGCTCCTGCTGCTCTCTGTCATCCTGCCCCTCACCATCAAGGGCCAAGCCCGGCTTTGGGACAGCTTCCTCCAACCTACAGAAGCCAGAGAAGCAGGCACTGAGCCAGAGAAGATCCTCTGCTGAAACGCCATTTTGCATAAGAAATTTTGGGATGGACCAAACACCAGATTGGGCCTTTGCAACCCAGCTCCCCTTGGGGCTTGTGTGCTCTGCTCCAGCAGGTTCAGAGCCGAACCCAGCCACAGTCGAGATGATGCTGCACACCAGCAGCTCCTCTGCTTCCTGACAGGCACTAGGCTCTCACCAGCACTAAAACCCTGCAGGTTCCTTGACACAGGGGACACCAGGAGGTCACACACAAAAGCTCTGTTGCTTCTTTCCCCCCAGCCTCACCTGGGCAGCTCCACTGGGCTCACGCTGGACGGAGCCTGTGGCCCTGCTGCCTGGTTCTCTGCCTCACGGGCACCATCCTCATAAGCAAGAAGCTTTGCCCTCAGCTCCGCCACCTGCAAGGAGGGATTTTCTGTTTGCTCAGATGGTTTTATGACCCCTGGAGCTCAGAGGTTTGCACCCCAAACAGACCACAGCTAAAGACAGAGCCCTGCCCTCCCCACCAGCATCTCACCTCCCCTTTCAGCTGCTCACACAACTCCACATATTCACAGAGGTGGGAGTCAGAGCTGCACATGTTGCTCTTCAGCTGCAGAGACAGGGACGAGACAGAGGTTACAGAAGCACTGGGGCAGCACATACCCTCTCCTGACACTGGAGCGGGGCAGCTCCTCGGCCTCCTCCAGGATGCAGGGGCCCCGTGGAGCCCCGGGCTGGCTGCAGCAGACACAATCTGCACTCGTGGACCTACTGCCGCAGTCACAAGCCTTTCTAGGCTCAGGGCTGGGGAGCTTCAGCAGAAGCCTGGGCACACACTGTCTGCAGCTCCATCAGCTGCTTTCTGCCCAGAGCAGCACCCCCAGGGCTGGAAAGCTCACGCCGGAGAAGGGAGGCTCCCACTCACCTACCCCAGCATGCAGCAGACTCCCTCCCATCCAGCAGCAGCTCCCAAACACCCACAACAAACACATCACCCCCACCACATGAGCTCCTCACCGACAGCTTGATCTCCTTGGCCCTGCTGGCATACTTGAGGGTGTTGTAGGTGTCTTCGTAGGCCAGCACAGAGGGGCTCACCGCTGCCACCATGACGCTGCGGCAGTTGCCACCCAGGCAGTCCTTCAGCAGGCGCGTCAGCTTGCTGTCCCGGTACGGGATGTGGCTTTTCTTGCCCTGGAGCAAGAGAGCCAGGATCTGCTCAGCTTTGGGACCCCGGGCACTCAGCTCCTACCCCTGAGGGACCAGGGGATGGCTGCGCTCACCCCACAGCACCAGCAGCACTGAAACTTGAGCACACCGCTCACATTCAGGCAGCCCAGGGAGCCAGAGCCCAGCAGGGCCATGTGGGGAACAGCGTTACCTTTGCATCAGCCAAGGCGTTGATGACGTTGATGAGGGCCAGCAGCGAGCGGTTGATGTTGGCCCCCTCCCGCAGCCGCTCTCCCCTGGTGTTGGCCACCGACGCTCGCTCTGAGCCTGCCAGGTCGATCAGGCTCATCTTGGCCACCTTCAGACCCCGACTGAGGCTGCCAGGGCAGTGCTGCTGCTTCACGTGGATCTGTGAGGACAGAGATGGGTGAGGCTGCAGCTCGACAGGGGGTCGGTGGTTGGAGGCGGCTCAACAGCAGGGCAAGAGGGTGATGCTTAGAAAGGGATGGCCAAGTGGATGGTGTGGGCTGTGAGGCAGAGAGGAGCCTGGCACGCCAAGAAGACAAGCCAAAAACTCGGCGATGACCCAAACAGCAAAACCATGGAAGGGATCCTGCAGGAAGTGACAGCTATGGGAAATAATCAGCATCTCCTATGCTTGGTGCACAAGCAGGGCAGAGCCGGCTGGGTCCCCAAAGGGCCAAACACCACCCAGAGCCCCAGCCCCAGTGCATTTTGTCAAAGTCAAGACACCGATGGGGGCCTACAAGCCTGGCATCAGCCAGGGCTTTCAGTGCTGAGCCCAGATCCCAGCTGGTGTGGGCAAGGAGGGACACAGCCACCAAGACACATCGGGCAGCATCGCTCCCTAACTTCCCCTTCTGCATCCCTAAAGGTCTCCCTGGAGAATGCAAATGCTTTCCCCACAGCCTTAAAACACACTCAGCCCCTAGGAACAGCACCTGCATGGACTGGAGGTGCCATGGGACTGCTGGAGCCCACTAACAGGTCCTGCATCCTCACCAGACTGTGCCGTGCCTGCCAGGAGGCAAAGCTGGCAGCGGGAAGGGCACATTTCCAGCACAGCAAATGGATTCAGAGCAGGCAGGAATCCAGCACCCACCAACAAACCCAGCTGGGGGGCCACCTGGAAAAGCATCCAGGCACCTGGACTTCCCCCTGCAAGCAGCCACAGGTGAGACACCAGCTTCAGACTGAAACTGCAGTGGGAGCCCCCCGTTTCCCCACACAGCCGTGACCGCCCTGCTCATTCAGGAGAGGGCCTGGCTGGAACTGAAATCAGCTGGCAGGTGTGCATAGGAGAGCACCACCAAACTGGGGAGCCCATTTACAGAGCCCCTGCGGGAGTGTAATTCCCAGCTCAGTGCCAAGGAAGACACGACGGAGGAGACAGCCTGCTCAAGGCACGAGCACAAACCAGCCCCTCTGCTCTGGGTCAGCTTTTAGGTACAGCTGCCACACGTTGAGTCAACAAGAGTCAAAAGCACACAGTGAAGTTTCAGCCCCAAGGGGCAGAACACCAAGCTGAGAGCATGGAGCTGGCCGGGAGGTGCGGCCACCAGCGTGACCGGTACGTCCCGTCCTGCGGCAGCGTGCCCAGGGCCCTGTTCAGCCCCATACCTCTCTTTGCAGGGCTACAACTGCTCTGCTTTACCCCGTGGCACATGAGGAGCAGTGGCAGGAATCCCAGTCCCGCCATGGCCTTGCTTCCTCCTCTCTTTTTAAGCACAACCCCCCAGTGCCACTGCATCCACCAGCCCTCACCTGGAAGATGGCATGCGAGCGGGAGGAGACAGCGTTGGCGTCAGTGGGATGCTGCGTGCGATTCCTGTTGCCGTTGGCCAACATCTCCAGGAGCTGCTCTGCTGACGCAGGCTGGGAGAGAACAGGGAGAGGGATGCTACCAGTGTGCCCCATCTGCAGGCACAGACACAACCCAACACAGAGCACCCACGGCTCTGGCATCCTGCAGCACCGTGGGCCTCATCTCAGCTCAGGCTCATGTTTGCTGCCAGCCAGGAGCTGTGCAGGTCGCACCCCCCTATCTTCAGAGACCCCCTATCTCCAGGACACATCTGCTTTCAGAACTGGTGGAGGTGCAGCACTGCCCATTCTTATACCTGGTGTGCCCATTTTAATGCCTACCTGGTGGAATGAGAGGCCCTGGACCACAGCTCCTCGCTCAGGATCCTCCCGAATAGCTAGAGGTCCCTTGGGCTCCAGCAGGTCATAGATCTGCTCGTTGTACACCTGAAGCAGGGAACTCAATGTAAGGCTGAGGTTTGGCTCCCCAGTGGTGAGCAGGGAGAGGAGCTTTGTACCCTAGGGTCACACATGACCTTGTGTCCCTCTCCCAACACCACCTGCAGGACATCACTACACCCAGGGCAGCTGATGGTGCTCTAGCTGACAGCTCAGGAGGGCTTTCAAAGCAACTCACTTTGCCACAGCTCCTCTAAAGCCTTTCCAGCCAGGAACCCCTCATTGCTACGTGCATCATGGCAAGGAAGAGAAAATGCCACGACTCCAGACAGGAGAAACCAGGAACACCAGGTCATTGACCCGGCAGGGTGAGCTCCCTTCCAGTTGGGCTCTAGGGCTGCCCTGGGGGCACTGGGTACCCTGAACGGGGCACTACAGGGTCTGCATCAACCCCAAATCTTAGTGACGGGGACCCAGTTGCGGCAGCCCCAATGCACCTCCTGGTAGGAGACTAGGACCTCACAGCTCTTCTCCTGCCTTCTGGCCTCCATCCTCTGGTACAGCTCCACCATAGTCAAGTACATGATGCCAGGGCTGTGCTCCGAGCCCAGCATGGTGTAGGTTTTCCCTGCTCCGGTCGCGCCATAGGCAAACACTGAGAGGAGAAAGGGTGGATGGGTGAAGGAGTGAATGGGAGCAGCAGAACATCCGCTCCTTGCTGCAGAGGAGATGTGGAGATCTTCCCGCAGCAGCCCCTGCAGCAGGGCACGCTCACAGGCTCCCGGAGACGAGGCAAAGCTCATTACCCTCTGCACTACCTGCAGCAGCCTTCAGTGCAGGTTATTTCCTCATTGCAGCCTCTCCAATTTAGCAGAGGCAGAATGAGTCCCCAAACCATCACCGCTTGGATGCTCCAGTCACCTCCAAACACTTCCCTTTCATAAACCAAGCAGCCCCATTCCCCCATCTCTCACCAGAATGGCTTTCTTCATCCAGCCCTCGTTATTCATCTCCATTTTCAGCCCCAGTCTTTCAACACCCTCTTTAAAACATCACCATCAGACCAGGACACACTGATCTAGCGAGCCTCAGCCCTTCTCCCTGTTAGCAGCACTCGGGGCCCCACCACTCTCTCCTGAGAGGATCCTGGAGCTCTTTTATGCAGACAGAGACACGAGCCGTGCCTGCCAGGTGGGCACGGTGACAGAGGCAGCCTTCAGCGCCTCGCAGAGCACACGGGGAGCCAGGAATAGCATCCTGCAGCGCCAGTGCCCGGCCCGGCACGCGATGAGACAGGAGCGCGGTGTCTCCCGCTCAGTGCCTGCCTCGCACAAGGGATGGGCTCATTAAGGCACCGTCTGCTGACAGCCTGCAAACGGCACAGGGGCTGCAGCACCACGAGAGGAGCTTCCAGGCCCAGCTTCATGGAGCTGCCAGCCTGGGAGATGCTCAGGAGGGGCACAGCAACCCTCAAAGCACCCCAAGGTGTGGCTGCTGCACCCCAGATCCCTCCCCGAAACTCAGCATCCCTGTGGCCGCAGCCCCACATCCAACCTACCTTCACTTCTGCCACAGGGCTCTGCTGACTCCCGCTCAGGTCAGTGCCCACCAGAACCCACAGGTCCCTCCCAGCCACACAGTCCCCAGCCTGTACCCAGCTCCTGGGTTACCCCATCACATCCGTGTTAAACTACACATCCTCGTGGTTGCCTTTCCCAGCCCAGACAGGTCTCTCCCACAGACCACATCACATCCTCAGCACACTTGTCATCGCTAAGGGATGCCACCACCAAGTTGAAGGCTGCAGGTTTAGCACTGCTCTTGTGCCTCCCGTCCTCCCCACTCCCAACCGCCTGGGGGCTTCCAAACTAACCCCCCAGCTCTCCCAAGCAGATGGGGCAGGAGCTCCCCCAGCACCCAAGCCAGCGGCCAGCTCTTACCGGAGCAGTTGTAGCCCTCGAGGACGCTGTCGAGCAGCTCGGAGGTGCTGTGCTGGAACACCTCCTCCTGCGTGGCCTCTTCCCCAAAGACCCGGTCAAAGACAAACTCCAGGTCCTTGCCCTTGGGCCCCCGCGCGGGCAGCGCGCTGCCGGGGGCAGCCCCGGGCTCCGCGGGGCTGAGGACGATGCCGTGCTCGTTAACGACGTGCACGACCGGGGGCAGGACCCGCTCGCTGCGGGCCAGGGGCCGCACACGCACCACGACAGTCACGGGGCCCTCCTCGGGCGGGGGGCACGGCCCCATGGTGGCAGCAGGGACAGGCACCGGGCTGCTGGGACGGCTCCGCTCCGAGCTCCAACGTCTCACAACGGAGCTCGCACACTGGGGGAGGGCAACGGCTCAGCGCGGGGGCAGCGGCTGAAGGGGGGGGGGGGGTCTGGGAGCTGGGCAGGGTCTTGCGCACCCACCCCTGCCCTAACCCCGGAGCCACCGGGACAACACCAGAGCCACCGTTATAACCCCGGAGCCATCCCTATAACCCCAGAGCCACCCCTATAACCCCAAAACCACCCCTAAAACCCCAAAGCCACCGCTGTAACCCCAAAGCCACCCCTATAACCCTCGAGCCACCGATATAACTCCAGAGACACCCCTATAACCCCAGAGCCACCGCTATAATCCCAGAGACACCGCTATAACCCCAGAAACACCCCTATAACCCCCGAGCCACCCCTATAACCCCCAACTGCTCCCCAACAGCCCCACATCCCCTCCACCCCAGCACCGACCCCCCCACCTCCGGGCCCCCACAACCACTCCCCCCCCCTCCAGGCCCCTGTCCCACAGCCCTTCCGGACTCCTCGGACCCCGCACAGCGCCTCCCCTCCAGACCCACATCACCCCACAACCCCTACACACACCCGCCCCACAACCCCTACACCAGCTCCACATCACCCCACAACCCCTACACACACCCGCCCCACAACCCCCACACCCGCCCCACATCGCCCCCTGAGCCCCACTCGCTCCCCTCAGACCCCTTTGCCCGCCCTCCCCGCCGCCCACCTCCGCTCTCCACACCGGCCGCCGCTCCGTATTCAAACGGAAGCTCAACAACCGCCCTCTCTCCTGATTGGTCGCCTTGCCACGCCTCCCCTCCCCATTGGCTCCGGGGGGTCACGCGCCGCGCGAGGTGCCCCATGGGAGTTGTAGTCCCGCCGTGCCCTGGCCGGCCGCCATCTTTCCCCCCCCGTTTTGCTCCGTGCCGGAGGCGGCAGAGCCGGCGGTGCCAGCGGGCAGAGAGCAGAGGGGGACCCGCGGGGAGCTGAGGGGCCTGGGCTCTGCCCCCGGTGCCAGCTGGGGCGGTGGCTGCAGCCACCCCAGGCCTCAATGGTGCCCTCCACAGCACGAGCAGCTCGGCTCCGGCCACCACAGCCCTGGGGTGCTCCTGACGTGGCTGGAGCCTCCCCAGGCCCTTCCATCCCAGGGGCTCAGTAAAGGAGCCCAGCCAGGGCTCAGGACCCTGGGTCCCTTCCCAGCTCCCAGGGAGCCCAATCCTGCCCCAGCTCCGTGTGCGTGGCCATACCCCGCTCACCCAAGCACTGAGGTTGGGGGTCTTTTGTCCCCCCAGTGACCCACGGGGATGGAGCGAGGGCCAGAGCCCACCCCGGGCAGGGGCTCCGTGCCAGGGGCTTTCCCTGGGTGGTTGAAAGGGGCTTTGTGTGCAGGGCTGGAGCCTGGGCACGGGCAATGGGAGCCTTTGTGCCGGGCACCGCTGCCGGGAAACACAGGAACGGAGCCAGGGGCAGTGGCGGGGATGGGGACACGGCCACCCTGTGCCCTGCAGCACTGGGGCATGGCCAGGCCTTGGGGACAGACCGGGCACGGATAAAGTGGGGTTTGGAGGCACAGGGCTGTAAGGGACATGGGGTCCACACGGATGCTACCACAGGAGGCAGCCAGGATGAAGCTGGGTGGCAGGGGGTCACTGTAGGGATGCTGCGGACAGGATGGGGACAGGTCGCACAGGCTGGCAGCAAGGTGGCATCTGATGGCTGGGAAAGGCTCCCTGAGAGCTGCAGCACAGGGACAGCAGCCAGGCCCTGCTGGACCACAGCCACCAGCACTGGGGCACCGACAGCATCCAGACTGGGGAGGTTATAGCAACAGCCAGGGGTGCAAGCTGTGGGCACCCAGAGCCACGGGTTGGGGTGGGGCCCAGTGGTGGCACTGGGGCAGCGCTGAGGCCCAACCTCTTGCTGCCCCATCCCCATTTAACCCAAGAAGTTCTCTGTCCCCATCCAGCCCTGTGTGCCCACAACCTGTCCTGCACCAGTGTCACCGGCAAAAGGCAGCAGTTTCACCCCCAGAACCACCTCAGCCTGGACACTTCCCTGCACCATAGGTGATGCTTGGCATCCCCAGGCTGCTGGAGCAGTGACCGCCCTGTGGCCCCACGCTGTGGGACAGCCCATGGGGCCAGCAGGCCCCTGTCCCTATCAACTGTCAGCAGTGCCTGGGGTGCAGAGCCCACACGGGGCAGGGGCTCCAGGGCCCTGCACGAGCCCCCACGCTGCTCCCTGCAGATGGATTTTCTCCCAGCTCCTCCGCAGCCGGGATCCAAGCATGGAAAACCGTCACTGCGGAGGCAGCGCTGGGCTCCCTCCTCCTCCTCCTCCTCAGCCCCCTCTTAATGAGGCAGAGGAACCAGGAGCAGCCTGGAAGGTTGAATTGGAAGCTTCCAGGCTGGGAGCAGGCAAAGGGGAATGCGGCGCTGCCAGGCAGGAAAGGAGGGCAGGAGGAGCGGGTGACCCCGGTCCCCACGGGACTGCAGCACACCCAGAGCCACGGCCCCATCCATCCTGCTCCCACCGCACTTGGCCATCCTGGAGGGCGCCTACGAGGAGCTGGTGCAGGCAGCCAGATGTGCCCTGCCAAGGCAGCCAAGGGGGTCAGGGGGTGCAAGGGACAAGTGCGGGCCCAGGGTAGGGATGCTCAGAGCTCTCTGCCCCAGCCCTGGGGGTTTGCAAGCAGCTGGAGCAAGGGGGACACAGAGAGGGGGGCAGCAGCAGGGTTTTAGCAAGGGGGAACAGCACAGAAGCACACAAAGCAGCAGGAGCTGGGTCTGCGCTCCAGGCCACGGCACCAGCTGGACCCCCACAGCACAGCCAAGGGGGCAGAAGGCACCCGCAGGAGCCCCGGATGAGGGGGGAAGCCACAAAGGAGCTCAGCCCCAGGAGCAAGGGCCTTTGCCAGGCCCAAACCCAGCTCCCCCCAGGCGGGGGGACAAGAAGCTCAGCCCTCTGCTTTGAACCAAACCATGTATTAAGAACACAACTTAATTCTTCACATGCATCATGTGTGGGGAATGGGGGGACGGGGAATGGGGGGACGGGGAATGGGGGGACGGGGAATGGGGGGACGGGGAATGGGGGGACGGGGAATGGGGGGACGGGGAATGGGGGGACGGGGAATGGGGGGACGGGGAATGGGGGGACGGGGAATGGGGGGACGGGGAATGGGGGGACGGGGAATGGGGAGACGGGGAATGGGGAGACGGGGAATGGGGGGACGGGGAATGGGGGGACGGGGAATGGGGGGACGGGGAATGGGGGGAGAGTGTGAGAACAAGGAAGACTTAAGGGGATCGTGGTGGGGCTGCAAGGAGGACGTAGAGGAAGGAAGAAATCTGGGAACCGCGTTAGGGACATGGGGAGGGATCCAGGAGCCATCAGCATAAGAGCTGCGTTGGCTGTGGGGTGTGGGCAGGGGAGACAGGGGTGAGTTCTTTGGCTCTCCTCTTGCTCCCCTTCCAGGAGCTGTTCCTCCAGCCAGGCTCTGAGGAAGACAAGAGCAGAGAAGCAGATGAGGCAGCCCCTGGGCAACAGCAGCAAACCCAGAGCCCCTTCCCGAGGAGGATCCAAGCCTCCTCCTTCCCACCCCTCTCCAAGGGCCCAGCGCA